GCGATAGCCCTCGAAAAGGGGCTACTGGGTCCACAACAACAAACGATTCTTCATCGGATAATGAATTTGCCGAACTCCGGGACCAGATACGCCAACAAAAGCAGGAACTCAAGAGATTACACTACTCGTAAAATAAAAGGAGGGCATTGCAAGAGCTTATCGATTATGAGAAACGCATCCAAGAAAACCGAAGTGCAACAATTTCGCGGCCAGAATCCAATATAAGCACACCCGACCATGGAATACCACAAGAAACCGCACCCCAGCCTATGCCAGAGCCCACGCATGCATTGAAACCGCCAGCACCCCAGCACATGTCTCGGAATACATGGGAAAGAACATGCAGGAATATCAGACATTTATCGCACGCATGGAAACCCATTTCGAACGAAATCGCTACTACTTTACTTTACTAATGATACGACGAAAGTGGTGGAAGGTACGGCACATCTATGCGCAACATTTATCCGCCTATGGAGGCAACACGAGGAGGAAGTCGCCGATAAACCTACCTGGGAGGACTTTCGCAAATTTCTACTACGCCAATTAAACGACCCTGTTAACCTGCGAAGAGATGCGAGCCAACGCTACCATGACGCCAGACAACAGGATCACCAAAACGTGCGGGAATTCGCAGCTTACCTTAACCAATGGGAAGTTCAGCTCCCAGAAGCATACACAGAAAATCAACGAAAGGATCACCTCCGGACAAGAGTCAAGCAAGACCTGCGACATGAAGCGCTTAAATACCCCAACGAACCAGAGACATATGAAGGCTATATCGCCCACCTCCAAACAATTGAAGATTCCATACCGGGTCGACGCAAGGAAATATCGCAAGCGAAGAATAGGAGAAGCCAACACAGCTTAGCTATGCGACACCGGACGACGACCCCAGGCAACACGGAAAGACAACAACCTTCCAGTCAACGGGGCCCAGACAAGCCATGGAGAGGCAACAATCGCGCCTTTAGAGGAAACTCTAATAGGTCCCAAGGTCATAAGCGACAGCAGTCGCATAACCCTGATATTGAATGCTATGTCTGCGGGAAAAGGGACATATTGCGCCTCAATGTCCCAAACGTGCGAGAAGGGACGACAACCAGGCAAAAACTAGGTGGCCCAGTGATGCGAGCAGCTGCGGCTCTGGGCCTAGAGGAAGAAAATCCAAAAGATAATGCCATTGAGACTATGGTTGAGCTGCAAGCACAAGAGCGCACTATTCCAACTTGTGCGTTAATCGACTCGGGGTGTCAAGCCCTTCTTATCAGCCGAAGGTTCGCAGATGCGCACCTCCCGGAGCCTGCAATAGGCCCGCGGAGGATAGTGGCCCTAGATGGTCACCGCATCCGTTGCTACGGACGCTACAGGCTGAGGGCAACCACCCAAGATTGCCACGGTGTTCGTAGAACGATTGAAAGAACATTCGATGTGGTTGATATGGACCATTATGATGCGATTCTAGGATACCCTTGGTTGAGAGAGGCGAACCCAAACGTCGACTGGGAACTAGGAACATGGGAATACCGGAAAATACCTCCGGAGAAAGAAGTCGAGATAATCAACGAAGCAGAGGTGAATCGCACTTTAAGAGAGGGAAAACAAGTCTACGCAGCGTACGTATCCACAACCGAAAATAACCAGGTCGAAATCCGTGTGGGTTCTGCGACAATCGGCGAAGGAGTGCGAATACCCGCAATCTACAAGGAGTTCAAAGATGTCTTTTCGGAGGAAAATGCAGGGATTCTACCTGCGCATGCAGACCACGACCATGCAATTAATATACAACCGGGAAAGGAACCCCCATACCGACCAATTTACCCCTTGTCCGAAAGTGAGCTCGCAGTTCTGCGCAGATATATTGAAGCAGCGCTAGAAAAGGGATGGATTCGTCCCTCGAAAAGCCCAGCTGGCGCACCTATTATCTTTGTACCGAAGTCCGACGGAACACGTGCGACTCTGTGTGGATTACCGCGGTTTGAACGAGATTACTGTCAAAAATCGTTACCCCTTACCACTTGTTAGCGAGACTATGGATCGCTTGGCTGGCGCTAAGATATATACCAAACTTGACCTGAGAGACGCGTATCACCGCATCCGAATTAAAAAGGGGATGAATGGAAAACTGCATTTCGCACAAGATATGGTCACTTCGAATACACTGTCATGCCATTCGGGCTAGCCAACGCCCCAGCTACGTTCCAGTCCTATATTAATCGCGCATTAAGCAACCTACTAGACCATTGCTGTGTTGTTTATCTGGATAACATTCTTATATACTCGCAGAGTGAGGAGGAACATGTGAGCATGTTACCGCAGTTTTGGAGAGACTGCGACAATTCGGGCTATACGCCAAGCTGAGCAAATGCTCATTTCATGTGAAAAGTGTGGAATACCTGGGATTTATATCACGCCTTCGGGCATTCAGATGGAGGAAAGCCGTGTGGCTACCATCCAGGCTTGGCCGGAGCCAACAACCGTGCGAGAGTATATATTCCTGGGATTTGCAAATTTTTACAGGCGTTTTATTGAGGGTTATTCCCGCATTGCATTGCCGCTGACCCAGCTCACCCGAGGGGAGCAAGGGGGGAGGAGCAAAAGGCAATGGTTCTTGAACCAGCGCCTTGAGCTGCCTGAGGACGCAAGAGTTGCGTTTAATAAACTAAAAAGTGCGTTTTCGAGCGCACCATTGCTATCTCATTATGACCCTAGGAATAGGACCAGGGTAGAGACAGATGCGTCTGGTTTCGCTATAAGTGCGATAATCTCCCAATTACAGGATGATAACGAGTGGCATCCTGTGGCATTTTTCTCACGAAAGATGACCGATTCTGAACGCAGGTATGATACGCATGACCAAGAGTTGTTAGCATATTAAGCATTCAAAGTTTGGCGACATTACCTCGAAGGGAGGCGGGGAGCCAATAGTGGTGAAGTCTGACCATGCCAACCTAAGCGGTTTCATGCGGCCCACATTGAAGCGGCTTAATGGACGTCAGGCGAGATGGGTCGAGTTATGAGCGCGTTCGATTTTCATATTGAGCACCGACCTGGGGTAAAGAACCCTGCAGATGCGCCAAGTAGAAGGCCAGATTACGAGCGCAGATGAAGTCACTACTCGTGTCACTGCTTCCCACATTGCGATCAAAGTTAAAATTGGCCATGGGCAAGAGTCATTGGGATGACGCACCCAATGAGTTAAAAACCGCATGGGCGGGAATAATGGCGCTGGACACCGAAGGCGGGTCCAAACAATTAAATAAAATGAGCTCTGATGCGCATATCTCCATGGGGAGTATGCATGCCCACGTGGATAAGAACGCACCCGTGGATGAGGACTGTGCTGCCGGCGTTACCAGAATTCTAGACACCTGGGTGCCACGGATCTATGTCCGCAAGGTATTGGATCCGAATCAGCTTACTCCAGCATTGAGGAGTCCATGGTGGACTATTTGTGCAAATTGCACCAAGAGAATCGCGAGTACGCGATATTAAGCGAAAAGTTGATCGCAAGCTGGGGGACTATGGCAGTCCGGCCTGGGGAATTGGCGAAAATGGCCTACTCAGGTACCAAGGTCGCGTTTATGTCCCAGAATTCCTGCGGTAACACATGAAATTTGAAAGCAAATCATGATATCCTCAGGGAGGACATTTTAGAGGAAAACGCACCTTGGAAGCCGTCGAACGCAAATACTATTGGCATGGTATGCGTGGCGATGTGCTGATTATGTAAAACCTGCGATATTTGTCAAAGAATTCAAGTGCATAGACACGCACCTTATGGCAAGCTGGAGCCTTTGCCGGTGCCAGAGCAGCCTGGGGAAGTGCTGACTCTTGATTTTATTACTAGACTACCGCCCAGTTCACTAGTATATCTGCAGCCCAGGGGGCACAGAGAGTTATGATGCGATATTAGTGGTTGTGGATGCCCTAACAAAGTTCGCACTTTATATTCCTTGCAATAAGGATATCTCGGCGCCAGAACTCGCACATTTGGTTTATCAAAAGGTGGTACCCATGTTTGGTAATCCAAAGCGATGGGTGTCGGACAGGGGCTCGCTGTTTACCAGTAGCTACTGGTCGACACTGTGCTATTGCCTAGGATCAAGCGGAAACTGTCTACTGCGTTTCATCCGCAGACAGATGGTCAGACAGAACGCCAAAACCAAACATTAGAGTATTACCTGCGAGCCTATGCGAGTTTCTTGCAAGATGATTGGGTTGACTGGCTGCCAATGGCACAAGTTACATATAATGCTGCGATTTATTTATCCACAAAGACAAGCCCTCGTGAAGCATTGATGGGCTTCGTCCCTAGCCTGAGAATCAATGTCGATCCTGATCCCACTGGCCATGCGCTAGCAGCGTTGGAGCGCGCAACACAGCTCAAGGAAAAGCGATCCTTGGTCAAGGATGCGCTTGAAAAGGCGCAAAAAGCCATGGCAAGGCAATATAATAAGCGTCGGATCGACAGACAATTCAAGATTGGTGACCAAGTCATGCTACGGGCGAAGAATGTCTCTACAGTGCGACCTAATGCGAAATTAGACCACCGCCAGCTAGGCCCATTTTCCATTATTGATGCATGGGGAAACCAATCGTACAAGCTTCAGCTACCACCAAAATATCGCCGTCTGTATCCCGTTTTCCACGTGTCTTTGTTGGAGCCATACCATGAACGACGGGTCAATGGAGTGACCCCCGCCAATACCAATTAATGGCGAAGAGGAGTGGGAATGATCAAATTCTGGAGGAAAAACGCGACAAGAGTGGTAACATAAGCTATTTGGTGCGATGAAAGGGCTATCCACCTGATAACAATACCTGGGAACCAAGATCGCACGTCGAAGACACTGAAGCCCTGGACATCTGGCTTACTAATACAGCACCGTTACCCGACGACGTACGCGCTACATGGCTAAGGAAAATAGCATTCTATTTAACTAAGACAAGATGGCGCAACGGCCCAATAACACCGACCTCCCACCCAAAGAGACAACTCAACCCTTGAAGGGGGAAAGGACCGCATCAACAAAACGACCCAGGCGACTGGGAGTCGCAGGAACGGGAGCCATGGGCGAATGCGATGGAGTGCGTTCAGGGACAGGCACAGATGTACTGCTATCCACGCGTGGTATTCGAGGTTTTCGAACCGCACGTCTATACTCCCTTACCAGCCCAGCCGCCCTCTCCTGCGCAGCAGGGCGACGAGACTGGGGAAGTCCAACAAACGTGCGATGTTCAGTAACCATAGAAACAGCCAAAGGACCAGCGGCAACCTCCGGAGCGACACAAAGGGTGTCGCTGGCCAGTACAATAAACACAGTTTAAACGACCTGGCAAGAAAACACACGCTGACGCAGCATCTCGCTCCAAACGAACAAGGCAACGGTGGCACCAGGGACTACCCCCTGGGCCAAAGGCAAACCATTCGTATCAACATGGACCGGCGCAGGGGTAGTCTGCACCTGGACGACCGAAGCCGCCGATGGAGACAAAGGGGCGATGAAACTTTCGCACAAATTAGCAATATTACCTTACATAAACGCACCGGACTTACCAGACACGTCCGGAGAGGGCGATTCGACTCCGTCCGGCTCCGCCGAAGCAGGAGAGGATGGAAATCCCTCCCATTCCGGCGAAACCGAGCGGGGCGCAGGTGTGAAAACGACATCGTCTTCAGAGGATGAACGAGGACGAACTCCACGGAGAAGGCGACGGCGTCGTGGGGCGGATTCTCCCGATGGAGGCGACGAAGCTTTGCGGCGAGCCATCTGCGAAAACACCCATATTACTAAGCTCAAAACATGCGAGAAAGCGCTGGAGGAGCCGTTACCCTTATTAGCTGAGGCAGAAGAGTGCGCACGTACCGCAAGAAGTTGGTGGTTTAGAAGAGAAGAGGAGAAGAAAAAGAGAAGAGAGAGAGAGGAAGACAAAAAGCTCAGCGTACAACAACAGAACTAAGCTCAAACGGGCGAAAAAACTGCAGTGAATGAAGCAGAACTGTTGCCATGGAGCGACTACCTGCGAAAACACACCTACACTCACCCAAGCTCCAAGACATCGTACCAAACATCGATCAACCGCACAAACCATTATGGGAAGGACTCAAGGGATTGGAATCTATGACACATTACCCATCATAACGCATATATTCATACTACAGTCTTTAAGGCTTCGAGGGCGAAGCCTCTTGGAGGGGAAGATAGTGTTAGGAGCGCTCGGAAGCGCGATAGCTAGATCCTTAGCTAAGATGCTTAGTCAGGTGCGAAGTGTTTATATTCGCACCCGCGGGCCTGAACTCTTGAAGGCCAGCGATTAGTTCTGCAATATACGTGGCTCTATCTTCTCTCCTATATAGACACTCCCTTTCGCACCGTAGCGCCCCATTCAGCTCGTTACCGACCCCCACGCATAACACAAGGGCTGAACCCATAGAACCTACAAGATAGGTTATGTACAAGAAGGAATCGTTGAAGGAGGGAAGAAAGGAAGAAAGGAAGAGGAAACAAGCGGTAAACAAACAAGGTGGGGAGTCACGTGACATCTATCGAGGGCCAATGGGCCAAAAGGGTCAGTAGGGACAGTAGGGACAGTAGGGACAATAGGGACAATAGGGACAACGGGGACAGTAGGGACAATAGGGACAACGGGGACAGTAGGGACAATAGGGACAACGGGGAAAGTAGGGACATTGGCCCGAGAGGTCAAACGGGCTCTAGCCCTTTACACGTAGCCTTGGCCAGATGCTACTTAATAATAGCTAAATGTTATGCGTGGGGGTCGGTAACGAGCTGAATAGGGCGCTACGGTGCGAAAGGGAGTGTCTATATAGGAGAGAAGATAGAACCACGTATATTGCAGAACTAATCGCTGGCCTTCAAGAGTTCAGGCCCGCGGGTGCGAATATAAACACTTCGCACCTGACTAAGCATCTTAGCTAAGGATCTAGCTATCGCACTTCCGAGCGCTCCTAACACTAAAGACAATTAAGTTACAGAACTAATAAACCTAAGCGCAGTTATAGCTGCCCCAAACCCTCCGAAAAGATTGTCACTAGCTTGGAAGGAATAGTGTAAAAAGCACCGAGTATGTTTTAGTTAAAAAGTATAAAGTATAAAAACTCCGACTGCCAGGCTAGGCTGACCGTTGGGAAGGGAAATTCCCATGGGAAATCGGGATGGGATTCCCTTCCCAAAAAATCGGGACGATTTTTTTGAAATTTTTGGGAAAGGGAATATCCCGTCCCGTGCCAAGATCGGGAAGGGATTATTTCGGGATATTAAAAATTTAGGAGGGAAATTCCCATACTCTTATTTTCTAAAGGGATTCCCATCCCATGGGACTCCCTGATATAAACAGGACCAGAATTTTTAAGTATATGGGAATGGGAATATCCTATCCCGAATCCTATATAATGGGAATCCCTTCCCGAAAGTCTTGGCAAGGGAAGGGAAACTTCTGGGATTCTACCTTTACTGTTACTAAAGTCTGTTACCTTGTTTTTAATTAAAATACCCATTTATTGATCCTCCATATATTCAGTGAGTAGTGAGGCATGAAATTTAAACTAAAGTAATAGAATTTTATAATAGTATTTTTATATAAAATATAAACACTATAAAACAGTCCCACCAATCTATTATCTACTAGCCTTGTCCCTATGCACTATTGCTTTACTTACTCTTACCCTGCTTACTATTGCCTTGCTTACTCTCACCCTGCTTACTATTACCTTGCCCACCTTCGCTCTGCTCACCGTCGCCCTGCTCTCCAAATTCCGTTGATAAATTAAAGCTTGACTCTAAGTCTAATTCTAATTTATCAAGGTCTATTTCACCCTCGAATTCGGGATCCTTGTCTAAATTAATATCAGAATCATGCACTATAATATAACTGGGTTTGTAACAAAATTGAGTAACAGTATTATTCTAATAAGAGTTATTATATCTTGTATTCTGTTTGGTAGTATTCTGGTAAGTAAGAGCATAGCGACGACTGTCCTCCTTAAGTTGCAAAATCTAAGATATAGTTAATAGTCGTGGGGGTATATAACCTTTATAACCACTAGTAGTAGTATCTTAAAGGAAAAGCGCAGTGTTAGGTAATCTGTTATTAATATATTTAATTGCTTCCCTTTTCTTTGTAGTAAGTTTTTAGGGGTATTAGAAGGGCCCTAAGGTTGCAAGCCAACCATCTGTAAAAATTCCTAGATAATCTCGAGAACAAGATATATATCTTTAACCATAAGAGTTGCATGTTTTCTATAATATATAAGTTTATTTAAACCTATTAAAATTAGTAGTTTATACTATTACTAGAAACTGTTACTTACAGGCAAACAAATAAGTTATACTTATTTTAGTAACTTCCTGCAGAGTATTAATTGCCTGGGGTGTTATATAAAACTCAGGGTTAATTTTTTTCACGGCTTCACGGACAAGGCGTCTAAATATAAATTTGGGAATAAAAAAGCCAGTTTAGTCTGCATAGTAACAAATTTCCCGCTCAGACTTTAAAGTGATTATTAGTAAAATATAATACTAAATAGATTAGTTAATACTTACTAGGAAGGATCTCGTTGGAAAGGTCTGGGACAGGCGCTGGTTTAATAGAGGTATAATTATTTACAGTACAACTATTTTTTTAAAAAACCTATTTAGCTGCGCGAACATGCCATGCTTTGTACTATTTAATAAAAGCCTTATTTAAATTATTATTATCCTTTTTAAAGGCTAAAAACTGTTACTATATTTTATTACTAAAGAGAGTTAAGCTTTTCTTACCTTAAACATATGGAGTATACTTGGGCTTTTTTAAAGTAGTTTTTCTAGTAATCTAACCTGGTAATCTCTTCCCACTAGTATTCCTTCTACCTTTTGGTGGCATTTTGTTAAGAAAATCACTGGTAACAGACCAATGTAACAAGAAAATGCAGGAAAAAGGTGAAAAAATATAAAGAAAAAAGATAACAAAGGCAAGAAAAGTAAATAAAAGAATATATTAGTAATAAAAGAAGGTAAAAAAAATTAAATAAGTAAATAAAACCTTATTTATTTACTAAGTCCTAGGTAACTAATTATTTTTTCTTTTTATCTTCTTTATTTTTTTACTTACCTTATATTCTTTTTCTAGCCTTGTCCTCTATTACTCTTAGCATTTAATTTCTTTATTTTCCAGCTTGCAGTTTAACCACCTTTTTTTTATATTTATTACCAAGTGCTGTTACCACCAGTTCTTAATACCTTGCAAAATATCTACTGTTAAACAAGTGGTGAAGGCAAGGAACTATTGTTAAGCAAAAACTAGACCTAAAAAAAAAAAGTTGCAGAAAAGATATAATACTAACTGCAAAGTAAAATTTAACTGTGTTTTAAAAAGCTTAAGGAAACTGGAATCTGGTATATAGTAACGGCTTTTTTAGTAACAACTATAGAGCCTAAGAAATATATAGGAAATTAGCACCTGAGTCACTAAAACAACAGCTTGAGGATAATGCCCTTGCGTAGTTATAGTAAGATTATTATTATTATTATTATTCTTCCATATTATAGAGCATTTTTCAGTCAGAGACTATGCATGCTCTACCTACCACCCTGGGTGGTAGGATTTGAACTAACAAACAGATACGTACATAGTGGGTAGAATCAAACATGAATAAGCAGTATGACATTCTAGGAGTGGGGAGGACCTTATAAAAGGGGTTAAACCATGCGAAATTCCAATTCTTTTTGCTGTTTTTCTTTTTTTTTTTGATTTTTTTTTTTTTTTTTTTTTTTTTTTTGTTTTAGGGATCCAGGAGCCACTTTCTAGTGGCGATCCCGGTTTCCTTTAAGAATTTAACCAGTTGCTCTTGCCCTGCTTTCTTTGTAAACAGATAAGGCAGATTTCGGTCTTTTTGTCTAGGGTCTCTATAGACCCTTTTCTAATATCCCTAAATGCCTGGCACTGAAACAGTAGGTGGTGCGGAGTTTGGCGCTTGTTGCTGCGGCATGATGTGCATATATCACTATCATAGTTAGGTGTTCGAACTAGATAGGATCTAAAATACCCATGCCCTAGCTTTAGCTGGATAATGGTTGACCAGGTCTGCTTGGGAAGCTTTTAGGGGGCTTGGTTTCCATGAAGCTATGGAATTAAAGCCCCTATATTGATCACTTTTCCTAGCATTTTCCCATGCTTTATCCCAATCCTCAAGGCATTTCGCTTGGAGCTCTCGTTTGAGATGGCTAACTGAAATAGGACATTTGTAATATTTACTTGTCCATTCTGCGCCATATTTCGCTGCTTCGTCAGCTTTGGCATTACCAAAAATTCCCTGATGGCCTGGAACCCATTGGATATGAATATTGATATTCTTTTCCTTAATTCTAGTTGCCCATTTAAAGGTTCTTTGGTATGGTTCATAGCTGGTGTCTGCTGATTGAAGCCTTTTAGGGCTGCTTGACTGTCCGAAAAGATGTAGATATCTAAAGTTGGAATTTGAATAGCCTTAAATGCTTGTTTTAATGCTTTTTGGATAGCAAATAACTCCGCATCGTAGACCTCGTATTCATGACCTAGATTCCACGCCCAAACCTTTTGATTTTGAGGATTATTCTCTAGGAGGAAAATTCCTGCTCCGTTTTGACCACTCTGCAGCTGGGATCCATCTGAATAGAAGATAATTTTGTGGTTATCCCTATTAGCAAGCCATTGAGATATTAGCGTCTTGTGTTCCTGGGCTGCTTGCTCTTTCGGTTTGCTAGATATAGATATATCTACTACTTGGTTTAACAGTTGGGACCAGGGCGGTAGGGTTTGATCTAGCGTCTGAAAGGTGCCTTTCCACGTCTTAAAGGAGAATAGTGCTAGCAGTCGGATTAACTGGCTAGGGTATTTTCTCTTTCTCTCTCTAGGGTGGTATTCAGGGTCTAGTTATAGTAAGAGAGGTTTAATACTAAGAGGTCCAAAAGTGGTATAAAAAGCAGCTTTAGCTTTAAAAGGCTTAGAAAGAAGCAGTAATAGTTATAAAAAAATATAAAGCAGCTCGCAAGATTTTAGCTAAGATCTTTTTTAAGCCAGCTACTGTAACCACCCCAAAGGTAATAATCTTTGGTAACAGATTAAAAAAAACACTTATATTAATTAGGATTCTATTCTTTTATTCTGGAAGCATCGCCAGTCCTGCCTGGTTAATTTTCTTAAAGAACGAGTTTTAAGACACGGTCGTGATAAACTAAAATTAATTAGTGCTTTTAGTAAGGCCTTGGATCAAGAACTTTATAATTTCTATAACCAGAAATCCCCAATTAAACCAATTTGGGCGGGCAATAATAAAAGAATTTTCTGGTAATAAAATTAAGGTATCTGGGGGGAAGAAAATAAGGACTCGGAAGAATTTAAGAACAAGTAGTAGGTTATTAGGAAAGTCTAATTATTATTAATTAGTTACTCGAGGCAAGTTTTTTAATAGTCTAGTTTAGTATAAAATTAACAATTTTTTTAATTTTTTATTAGGCTGTTACTGCAAAGTATTACGTACCTAAGCTTAGAAAAATAATATAAGTTTAAATTCCTATTAAAAGAGAATAATTAAAAATAAAACAAAAATAAAATAAAAATAACATAAAAAGCACTAGGTTTATATAATATTAAATGCAATACTATATATAATATATATATATATCTCTCTTTAAAACAACTGACTAAAATATACTTTATAAATATACCACTAAATATATAATATTCTCGCGTTTTCTGAATACACCATAGCTAATTTCCTAAATATCTTAGTTTTAACCTTAAATACTTATTTCTGTACCTTCTAATTACGCGACTATTTAATAAAAATTGTGTTTATTAAAACACGTTGGCTATATAAGGTTTAATACTATTTGTAATAGATTATAAATATATCCCGGCCTAATAATAGACAGGCTTCCTACTAAGATTTTACGACCATAGAACTTTTTATCCTATTTATTATTCTTTGCTGCTTAAATTTTTTTTATTAGGTTTTATTTTATTTATTTATATACTTACTGTTACTTTCTACTGTTACAAAATATTATTATCAAGAAGCCAATCTCTAAGCTTTTACTTAGAAAATTTTTTATTAACTCCTTTTTCAAGCATATCTTCTAAGCCTCTGCGTTCTGCTTTATCCTTAAAAGGGATATTTTTAAACCTATAGTATCTAAGTTCTTCCCCACACCTTTATCCTATATTAAACCCTCTGAAAATATTAAAACTGTATTAATTAACAGTGTTAAATATATAAAGTGGGAGAAGTCCTCCTATTCTAATTTTATAAAGTGGTGGAAGAAAACACCTACTGGTATAGGAATTTTTAATAGCAAGGTAAATAAGAAATTCTTTTACCCGAACTGGAATAAAAGCAGAAGTTAAAATAATTTATAGGATTAGTTTAATTAACTTGCCAAGCTTTATACTAAAAAGCCTGTTTTTAATACTATACATATTAGAGTATTATTCAGCATGGGATCTACTATAATAATAGGACGTCTGGAATAAATAAGCATTTTAAAAAAGCAGGGTAAAAAAAAAAAAAAAAAAAGAGTCCTAATTTACAGTAATTAATAATTACAGTAAGTACAGCCCATTATTTGGTAATAGTATTTAGTAACAGTTTTAGTAGGAAATATACAAAAAAAAACAACCTTACTTTTAGTTATTATACAGTACTTTCATAATCCCTCCAAAGACTAATAATAATATTACTAAATAAATTTTTAAAACATTTTTTTTGCACTGAATCTATCCTTCCAAGCTATTAAATATCCTTAATTTATCAGTCTTCTTTCTCTCCTTAATCCAACTATTAATATTCCTCGCCGAACAAAGCTCCGAAAACTGTTAGACAGCAAATTTAAGGCAGTCTAGGATAAGATCTTGTTAGGATATTTATCTCGAGGGAAAATATCCTTAATATTAGATGCATGGACAAGTCCAAATTATTTTTTATTTCTAGGAGTTATTAGTTCTTATATAACATCTCGGTGGGAGCGGAAGGAGGTTTTTCTTGGGTTTAAGCCTCTAGCAGGAGTTTATAGTGGCTCTTTTTTTACTAAGACTATTTTCCAACTTTTTAAGACACATGGTATTAAGGATTAATTATTAGTTATTACTACAAACAATGCTAGTAATAATAAAACTCTATGTAAATTATTATTAAAGTCTTTAAGTTTAAAGAATATATCTTGGTTAGCAGAGTAAAACTATCTACCCTGCCTTGCTTATATTATCCAGCTTGTCGCGAAGAGAGTTATTCAAGCACTTAATATTAAATTATTAAATAAGACCCTTCCCTTTTTTTTTTTAATAATAAAGGAATTAAATTAACACTTTTAAAACACAAAGATATTTTTGGAAAGATATTACACAAGGTAAGTGCTATAGTGATGTAGTAGTAGTATTTAGTTGTCATCCCGGATGACTAAGATGTATAGTGCCTGACGAATATGGCTCCAACACGTAGGCACTCCGAAGACACGATCCCACATCATCCCACGGCAGTGCACTGGAAGACCTCGGTAGACATTAGGTTAAATAGCGGTCTGCTACCGTAAGTAGCAGACCGGAGACGAGAGAGACAGAGGACTCATCAAGGATAGCTTAGGCAATACATTCCTTCAGAAGACTCAATAGAATTCCCTCAGTCCTCCCCAGGGCCCCGTCCCCTATTCGACTGTCCCTACAGCTCATAGTGTTCTACTACCTCGTCCAGTCCCTTACCTAACCGGCCGTGTGATGAGCGATATTGCATAGTAATAGTATACTAACTATCTTAACTACTTAGATTTAACTACTTATAAATGCAATTAATGCCTCTTTTTTAATATTGTGAACTCTTTTAAAAGGTCTAATCTCGGAATCCACCACTCCACATGGTCCAGGATGTTGCTTCTCGCTGAAATTTAATATATAATATGGTAATCCGAGTATTACTATTACAAGGTCCTCTTACTAAGTTTTTAATAAATGCAATAATCCTACACTTCAGGCATTTAAGCTTACTAATAATAAATAGAAACTGACGGAGGAAAGTGGACCACTAGACTAACCAGAATGGGAATAACCATGGGCTATACCTATTTAGATTTAGCCTAGGGAAAAAGGTTGAAAATACTATTCTATAATAGTATTATATAATATTGATAGTGTGGAGGGATGAGTTATATTTAAACAAGTATAAAATATAATTAATACATAATATAATAGGGAACAATTTGTGCTTTCCTATTTAGGAAGATTTCCTATTTAGGAAGGTAGATATTGAAAGATTATTTTAGAATGATTGTCCATTTTTTTTCGTTGAAGGGGGTTTTGGTTGCTTTTATATTAGACCTCGGATATTTCTTGGTAAAAACTTGGAGATATTTCGTTGAAGTATCGGCTAAAATTCGGCTCAAGTTCGGTTTTAATTCGGTGCTTGATTTTTAATTTAAGTTGCTTGCATTTTTTTTGAATATTTTGTTTGCTTAATTAATGCATGGATTAGTAGCCTCGTTTATTAAGGAGTTTCCTAATTAGGTAATTAGAATATTAAGTAATATCTTAATATTCTGACAATTACCTTTTCTTTGTTCTTGATTATACATCCTTTTAATAATAATTTATCTCCCGTGTTTAAACTAGTCAAGTATTGTTACCTGAATCTGTTACAAGATATATTTAAGAAAATCCTATAGGGAAATTCCCATTTCTATCGGGAATATCCCACTTCCCATATTCCTAATGGGAATTTCCTTTCCTCTAACTAAGCGGGAGGGGAATTTCCTTTTCTAATCCTAATTCCCAAGGGAAATTCCCATATGGGAAATGGGACGGGAAACAGGACGTGATTTTTAAGATAAGAGGGAATGGGAATATCCCTTCCCGAATAGCTTGGCATGGGAAGGGAATTAAAATTTAATTCCCATTGGGAATATGGGACGGGACTTGAACCCTTTCGGGATCCCGATTCCCTCCCAACGGTCAGCCTATGCCAGGCTAAGAAACAACTAGGGGGCAAAAGCTCGAGGAAGCCGGAAACGAAGAAGACTTCGGAGCAGGAGCCAGGAAAAAAAGAGGGTTACTAGACAAGGAAGTACTAGTTAACCAAATAGTAAAGGCTTCTAATAGCAGAGAACTATCGCTGGTTAATACCCTTGATCCGAACGAGGCTAATAAAAAGGTAGAAAGGCAATGCCCACTAGGAAAACTAGCAGTGATAGAAGAACCTGCGCATCTCTTTATAGGTTTGCTAGGGATTTCCAGAACTGTGCCGACATAAATACTAGTTAATTCGGGCGCTAGTCACATATTTATTACTTGACAGATATACAAATAATTATCTTACAGAGTAATAATTAGACAAACCAAGTATCCTCTACATAAGCTATATCTACCTAAGGGTAGTATATACGTGTCATCCCGGATGACTAAGATGTATAGTGCCTGACGAATATGGCTCCAACACGTAGGCACTCCGAAGACACGATCCCACATCATACGATCCCAGATCGTATGATATGGGATCCCACGGCAGTGCACTGGAAGACCTTGGCAGACACTAGGTTAAATAGCGGTCTGCTACCTTAAGTAGCAGACCAGACCAGAGAGAGGAGACAGAGGACTTCAAGGATAGCTTAGGCAATACATTCATTCAGAAGACTCAATAGACTTCCCTCAGCTCTCCCCAGGGCCGCCATCACGGCGGCCCCTGGGGCCCCCGTCCCTATTCGACTGTCCTTACAGCTCATAGTGTTCTACTACCTCGTCCAGTCTCCTACATAACCGGCCGTGTGATGAGCGATATTGCATCTGGTAGCATGTCAAGCTGGAAGCTGCAAACACAGCTTGTAATGCGGTCAATCGACCAAGTCTGGCTTGGAAGATGACTGCTCACACGATCCGACTTCCCTTGCCGGAGTAGGGGACGGATAAGGTGTATACGGACACGGAGTGAGCGAGCCGACCGACTGCTAAGGCATTTATGGCAGAAGCGCAGGCCACGCTCAAAGCATCGTACGATATGGAATCGTACGATACTGGGGGTAGGATGGAGGAAGCAAGCATAAATAGGCCCTTCTCCCCTCCTCGACGCTTCCTTACTCAACCAGCTCAACTCTTCAAAGGAAACACAAGAAGCTTGATCGAAACAACGACGAAGTGCGCCCACTTAACAGAATAGCTAACAACTCCTTTACTCCGAACCTTTCTTCCCCAAGTAACGCATCCATGGACGACGCACAGGAAGAAATCGAATTTAACACTGCAGACTTTCGTGCCTTGCTGGAAGAAGTCCGGAACTCTCGAGAGCAGATAAGAAGGCTCGAGCAGATGACAATGGGCCATGGTCAACGGATGGATGGTTATTCGGATCCAGTGGGAGGCATATCGCGGGAAACAAAGGAAGCTAGTCGGAAAATGTCAGACCTGAGCGTTATCCCAATGTACGGTGGGAAGTATGCTAAGGATGCTGCTTGTAAGTGGTTAATAGTCCTTGAAGACTATTTCGAAAACAAAACAGCAGATCACGAAGAAAGAAGCAACCGATCTCGACAAAATCACAATTGCTTCACAACGTCTGACGGGTTTAGCACGGGATCGATGGTATTCCGCGCGAGAACAAGCACGAAGCGACCCTACATGCCGAATCACCTCTTTCGAACAGTTCAAGGAATGGATTGAGCTGAACTTTGGCGAGATTCTGAGCGACACACGAAGGTGGGAAGAATACGAGGCGTGTACGCAAGGAACCCGTTTAGTGCAAAGCTATGGCACAGCGCTGCGTACTGCGGCCGACAGAGTTAAGGAGGACATTCCCGAGCCTATGTTAATCCGGAAGTTCGTCACGGGAGCAAAACCGGCTCTGCAAGCTATGTGGGCTAGAGATATAAATCAACCTTTAAGGTATAATAAGGTGGTACAACGGTTCGCAATATATAAGCAAGGCGTAGCCTTGGCCGGACACTACTTAACAATAGCTGGAGATAATCAAGTCACAGAACTAATGGACCTAAGCGCAGTTATAGCTGCCCCAAACCCTCCAAAAGATCGTCACCCGCTTGGAAGAAATAGTGTAAAAGCACCGAGCATGTTTTAGTTGTGGAAGCACGAAGCATAAGAACTCCGACTGCCCGGCTAAGAAATAACAAGGAGGCAAAAGCTCGAAGAAGCCGGAAACGAAGAAGACTTCGGAGCAGGAGCCGGGAAAAAAGAGGGTTACTAAACAAGGAAGCACTAGTTAACCGAATGGCAAAGGCTTCCAATAGCAGAGAACTATCGCTAGTCGATACCCTTGATCCTGACGAGGCCGACGAAGAAGTTAAAAGGCAATGGCCACCAGGAGAACTAGCAGCGATAGAAGAACCTGCGCATCTCTTTGTAGGTTTGCTAGGGATTACCAGAACTGTGTTAACACGAATACTAGTTAATTTGGGTGCAAGTTATATATTTGTTGCTCGACAGATATGCGAACAATTATCTTATAGTGCAATAATTAGACAAACTAAACACCCTCCACTTAAGCTACGTCTACCTAAGGGTAGTATATATGCAATATACAAGGTCCACGTGCCCATTTGCATCGGGAATGGTGCGGTATAATCTCTGCTTGGGAGGTAGACACGGATATACACAATCTAATCCTAGGACAAGACTGGTTAAGGTCGATAAATCCAACGATAGATTGGCGGACAGGATATATAACCATACAATAAAAAAAGCACTCCTAGTAAAGCTTGTACCAGAACATGTCCATGCGAGGACCATCGCGGGATCCGAGCTGAATATAATATCAGGGAAGCAAGTGCAACACGAGATACACAAGAAAAGTGCAGAAGCATGGTTATATATAATCTGGCCGATAAAAAAAAAAGACCAAGGAACCTGTGTGTAGGTCGGAAAGGATTCGAGATATTCTAAAGCAATATTAATTAGTATTCCGGGAGGAGTTAGCACCTGGACTACCACCAGAAAGACAAGTAACTCACGAGATTAATACAGAAAACATGTTACCAGTCAGCACCAACGCTTACCCCCAATCCCCGGAGAAGTTCAAGGAGATAAAGCGGCAGGTAGAAGAACTACTTTTTAAGGGAGTTATTCGACCTTTATCGAGTCCATGGGGATTACTAGTTGTGTTAGTTACAAAGCCGGACGGATTATAGCGAATATATGTAGATTACCGCGCAGTAAATAAACTCACGGTAAAGAACACCTATCCTCTGCCAAGGATCCTAGAGCTTATTGATAGAGTTGGGAACGCTAAGTATCTCTTAAAGCTTAATCTTCTATCAGGATACTGGCAGCTACGCGTCGGAGAAGTATCAATACCAAAGACCATGTTTAATATATTATTCGGAAAGTTCGAATTTCTAGCGATGCCGTTTGGGCTATGTAATGCTCCAGCTAGCTTTTAAATATTAATAAACGACATCCTGAGAAATTTCGAATTTGTTGTGGTGTATCTCGACAATATCTTAATCTTCTTAGATACAGAAGAAGAGCATGCAGAACATGTACGACAAGTTTTTAAAAGGTTAGCAGAACATAAACTCTATGCAAAGGGTTCGAAATGTCAGTTTAGACAACAGTAGTTAGAATTCTGCGGCCACATAATTGGTAACGGTGAAATTCGACCGGTACTTGCAAAAATAGATGCTATTAGGGACTGGCCTATTCCGACAAATGTTCATAAGGTACGACAGTTCCTAGGTCTAGCTACCTATTATTACCAGTTTATTAAGGGATTCGCACGGATATGCGTACCCCTTCACGAGCTACTTAAGGAATTAGATAAAACCTTAAGAAAGAAGAAGTTTCGACCTATTTAATAAATAGTGCTTTGTTAACTTGCATTTAATAACTTAAAGAAGAAGATGACAGAGGCACTAGTATTAATTATTGCAAATCTAACACGGCTATATAAAATTAAAACTGATGCATTAAATAGAGCGATTGGTATAGTACTACTCTAGTAAAACAAGAATGGAGTATTTCGGGTTGTTGTGTATAACAGCCAAAAACTACTTGGTGCAGAACAGAACTATCCGACACAAGAAAAGGAATTGCTCGCAATTAAGGAAGCGCTTCGTCGATGGGATTATTATATTAATAATAGACAACCGATAACTGTGGTTACGGACCACGAAAGCTTGCAGTACCTTACAGACACGAAGAAATATTCTAAACGTCTTGCGTGATAGGTAAAAGAGTTCTAGATGTATAATATTTAAATTCGATATTAAAAAGGCTCCAAAGCAGTTGTACCAGATGCTATTAGCCGCCGGCCTGACCTGGTTAAGGACGTACCGGCAAAAATAGCTAAGTAACCTAAGCTTTTTCTTAACGCACTAGATGCGTGGGAGAAGCAGAGTCAGACAAGGATTTGTAGTATTGGGAATGTCTTGGAAAGAGAATAGTACCTAGCAATAATTATATACTTGCGAGACAAGCAAATTCCACTTAAATCATGATTGCGGAAGGCAGTTGAAACCACGGCAGAGGATTTTAAACTGCGGGAGGAGAGACTATATCTTGCTCCATATCCGCGGGGTAAGCAAAACGCGTCGACCGCTCCTAAATTATGTCACGAACAATTATATTGTAAAACAGACAACGGTAACGCGCCATACTTAGAAGTTCCTTTTTTAAAAGGACTTCACGAATAGAATGCACCGTGATTACGGACATCTTGGATATCCAGCCTTACTAGGAGCCATAGGCAATCGTGCCTGGTGGCCAACAATGCGGAAAAATATTAAAGAAGCTCTGAAGCATTGCCCGAACTGTCAGACTTTAAATAGTCTTTGTAAAGGCTTGAGAGAGAACGCCCGCAGCATCTTGTGCGGGAAGGAATGCAACCGTTCAAGTAATAGGGTGTAGACCTTATCAGACGGCTTCCAACAACTCTAAATAGGAATCAATGGATTATAACAGCAGTCGATTATGCAACAGGATAGGTAGTTGCGAAGGCTCTGCCGGATATAAAAGATAAGATATTAGCAAGGTTTTTACACGAGGAGATCTTTACTAACTATAAAGTATTTAAAAGCTCCTATTAGACAACAGACCAAACTTCCTTTCGAAGATTGTTAAGGTGTATATTACAATCTTAAAAGCAAAGCACTAAACAACAACACCTTATTATCCACGAACGAATGGAAAGAACGAGAATATAAACAGTCTGTTAGGCCGGATGTTAACAAAGTACTTAATAGGCAAGCCAACACGCTTGTGGGATAAGTACTTAGCCCTTGCAGTGTTCGCAGCACGCATACACATGCAGAAGCAAACAAAGAGGAGTCCTTTCTACCTCCTTTATGGGCTAGAGCCGCGTCTTCCAGAAGACGGCGACTCAACGAAGACATCAAGCAGCAGCAAGGATTGTATACAGCGCGTTATGCATGCACGTGCGCAAGCAAACAAAAACTCTTGGCACACGCGATCTGTTAGAACCTGATCCGGGACACGCTAGTCACGAAGGACCGTCTAGACAAAGGAGAATGGGTGTTAGTACGGAACGAAACACCGCAGAAGTTTTAGAGTAAATGGTTCGGACTATACAAGATTGTTAAAAGACATCCTTTGGGGACGTACGTGTTAGAGGAACCCGGTGGACACCGAGTCCACACATTAATAAATAGTCAACGTTTGGTCAAAGCAGGGATTGATAAGGACCCCACGAAGCTTTGGATGTCAGCAGCTTTAAATCAAAAGCTAAAAGAAAAAGGACTTACACTTCAACAGCCGGTTAAAGTTCGACAGGTCCTTGAACAGGATAAACCATCCCCGCCGTTATATAACGAGTTGTCGGAAAGAACTTAGAAGAAATAGGACGGTTGTAAGCGTTCAGGAGTATGCTTTGTTTAAGGAGGGAAGGAGGTTTACCAACCCAACGCGAGGAAGCCTTACCTTGAGCAGAAGAAAAAGGGCGCGTTGGTAAACAAACACCGGTGGGAGTTAGCTGCTCCACGCGACGTAGAACAAAGCCTGCCACGGAAGCCGTTGAAAGTGCAGACTTGACTGATTTAGATAATAAGACTTGGGAAGGTATACCAGGTAAAGGAACGGAGAAGTTAAGCAGTCGAAGGGACGCCAGAGACATTGACTTTAAAGGACTATTCGCAGTGGTGATACCGTCTTACCAGGAGAAATCGGATTAGTATAATTGCGATAGCAATAGTCTAATCTCACAACTAATTACTGTCCACGAAGAAGCTACGCAAATCCCGAACAAAGAGGTATTTATCTGCTAGGATACAAAGCAAAATTCTATTACCAGCTGAATATAATAAAACTACAAACCTTTTAACTTATCCAGTTCCAACCCAACCTCAATATCCTTATAGGACTCTGCTACGGTGTCCCAAAACGTATTAGGAGAAGGCTCTCTAGGATTTAGAGCTTCGATGCGGTTGTTAACAATGTAAAGGTAGCGACGAAGCTCCATGCGAATAATCTCCAGAGTTTTAATATTATCCCAAGCATTCTTAGGGACCGACCAGGGCACGAAATCGCCATCAAGAGAACTCTTCTTTGAGCGAAAAGGCGTCGACGACTGACCAGTATTACTTGGATCGAAGAGACGACCCTTCCTAGAACCAAACAAAATATAGGAAGGACCGGTTGACGCACCAGCAGTAGGAGATTTCTGAAGCCGATCAGAACGCCTAACCATAGCAGGAGTCCTAGACGAGTTTAAGGGAGTATCAACAACTTCGACATCAGAATCTGCGCTATGAGGGCGCTTCGAAGGAGTCATAGAAGCCGAGGCTTTCGAGGAAAACGCCGAGAGGAACGAATCGGATAAATGGATAGACACAGGCGAGGAGAAATCACAAAGAGTGTCACGATAACCAAGAGACCGCAGATAACCACCTTTTTTCAAGTATCGACCTAGCAAGATTAGGACGAGTAAAAAGGGAACTATAAGGGACTTACTAATCTATATTAGCATTCCAAGCATTGCAGGAGGTTCTGGTGCGAAGAGTGCACCGAGAACCGCGACCGTTCCAAATGTAGTTTAAACAGGCACCAGAGTAAGAAGCAGCTTCCTTAAGCACCGGAAGAGCGACGCACGACTAAAATGTTCCGCCGGTAGTGCACGACGAACAAGCTTCTGAAAGCAGACCACGCTCGTGTAAAATCAAGGCGCTCTGTTATTGCGCAGTCTTAATTATCTTTAGTACCAGCTTACCCTTCTTGTCGGACGCCCAGTTGACCTCACGACCCCAATCGACCAACCGGAGAACGCTCACATCGGTCGCAGTTAAAGGAAAGAGACAGACTAAGGGAGTTAGCTGCAAAGTACGAAGAAGAAGGCACACTTACTATCAGTGTAGGCATCGATCACTGCTTGACGGCTTGGAATCGTAACCCCATGCTACTGCGAGTAAGACATGTTAAAACAAGCGGGATTATATACATACCTGATAGGAGGAAGACACAACAGTTCGAAAACGGAAAGGAATCGATTAAACCAGCTTAAGTCAACGAACAGCCTTAAGGACGACAAGGCATGGAAGAACAATGGGTACGATAACTAACTAGCGAAGTATAAAAGGTTCTATTTATACCTGAAGAACAACAAACGGTTGATCTGGTGATAACAATCAACCTCGCTTCCTACTAGCGCGATTCGATAACCCTTTGACATGACCGTTGCAATCTGACTGGCGCAAGAATCCCATTGCAATGGATCTATAATAACTTGACTGCTTTGTTGATCTAGACCAATCAGATCCTCGCTAATCAACCTTAAAAGCGACGGATTCGACATAGTACCAGACTATGACAAAGGATTAACCCCATTGTTGGATGCTGGTGAGGTACTCGCACCATCGGACCGATATCAACAAAGCCGGAGGCTGATCGCTCCGTCTTGGCAACTCCGGGGCGGAGTTGCAGCTAAGTGAGGGGGGGGATATCATCCCGGATGACTAAGATGTATAGTGCCTGACGAATATGGCTCCAACACGTAGGCACTCCGAAGACACGATCCCACATCATACGATCCCAGATCGTATGATATGGGATCCCACGGCAGTGCACTGGAAGACCTTGGCAGACACTAGGTTAAATAGCGGTCTGCTACCTTAAGTAGCAGACCAGAGAGAGGAGACAGAGGACTTCAAGGATAGCTTAGGCAATACATTCATTCAGAAGACTCAATAGACTTCCCTCAGCTCTCCCCAGGGCCGCCATCACGGCGGCCCCTGGGGCCCCCGTCCCTATTCGACTGTCCTTACAGCTCATAGTGTTCTACTACCTCGTCCAGTCTCCTACATAACCGGCCGTGTGATGAGCGATATTGCATACGCAATATATAAGGTCTATATACCTATTTACATTGTGATGGTTTGGTTGTCTCTGCGCTAGTAGAGATAAAACTACTTGACCATATAAAAGGTACAAGACGACTGATCGAAGATCAGTCGCATCTAGCGCCCTATATAGTATGTTACAGGTTCAGCCTGTGACTAGGCCTCTGCATGGTGCGGTCCCGGTCCTAAGGTCAAGGACCAAGGACCGGACCGTACGGTCTTCCGGTCCCAAATGATAGGCTAGGACCGCACCGCGGTCCCCGCGGTCCCTTGCGGTCTTCACCACAGTGAACCGCAATTGCATAAAATTGCCAAGACCTTCCCTTTTTAGCTGTATAAATCGATGATTCATCTTCCTTTTTACTGTTATTAAACACTGTTTCGTTATTTACCTTAATATTTATGGTAATTCAGCACTAACTACCATAAAGTAGATGAAATACACTTATTAATAAAATATTTAATATCTAAAATATCCAACCCTGCTAAGACTATTATGTGTTTTAAGTTCTGGTGGTGTGTTCAGATCGAAGGAGTAGTTAGTGGATTGTATAGGGTGGCAAATATATATTTTGAAAGCCAAAAGGCGCAAATTAATAACTAAATGGTTATTAAGCTCAGCATACTATAGCAAGGTCAGGTCCGTGACAGAAATATTATCTTCTCTCCTGTTTGGAACTTGTGGGCTTGGGCCCCACAACTCCAAACTGTCTAAGAGTATCTCCTTAAACTACTTCTTTGGAGTCCTACTATTTCCCTCTTGTTTAATATTTACTAAAAGTTCTTATTTATGGTGTTTGGTCTTTTCTGCGGTCTTTCTGCGGTCCTACGCGGGTATAGTGGTCTTTTTGCAGTCTTTGCGGTCTTTGCGGTCTTAATCCTAATAGACCGCAGCAAAGTGGGCCGTGCCAGCTAATTACTATATAAAATACTCTGTACAATTTGATCTATCTATAATCTGCTACTAGATACCTTCCCTGAGAATTTTTTACTTATTCCTTTCTGTGAGCTACAAATAATCTGGTAAGTCTGCTTTTTTTTTTTTTTTTCCTTTTTTATTATATACTTATTTGTTAAAATGGCACAGAGCCAGGCCTCTTAGTTCTCTGACCACTATCCCTTCTTAGTGTTTAAAAATAATTTAATAAATACTCTCTCCTTCTTTACATCTAACAGGTTATTTAATCTCGACGGCCGCGAAACACCAAATTCTAATTTTAAAGCTAATTTTTCCTGACTGGTAGCTCCTCCTCCAATCCCTATAATACTCGAACATGTTGGCCCTTCAAACAAGAAGCTTTATATCCTTTAGATAAAAATAGTAAATAAGGATTTTGTTGCATGGTGGTTTAAAACAGAGTATAGAAGTAAGACAAAACAGAATATTTTTTAAAGGTAAATGCAACGCAGATTACTGGGACTACTTCCACCAGGTCGCTGCTATCTAGGATGGATCCCCTAAGGTAATGTGCAAGAACTGTAATTATATCCTTGTCTATCCTACTAATTGCCACCGGGGAATGTCTACTATAAATAAACATTATTCGCAAGCAGTAATCTGTTGGAAAGGAACGAATTAGTTACAAGATATTAGAAAAATAATTAAAAATAGGGTATATATATTATATTTTTTATTATTACTTTTACTAATATTTTAAAATCCCTCCCTAGGCATACCTAGCTTCTCGGAAAACTTTATTCACGCCGCAAGCTTGGATGGAAAAGTTAATTACCTTTATAGCTGCCTTGCAGCTACCCTTTTAACTTGTTGAGCATCCTGAATTCCATGCCCTTTTTAAAATGGCGCGGCTTGCTCCCTCCTTCCCTAAAATCCCTGCTGCAACCACAGTCCGCCGGCACCTTTAAGAAATAGTGGGACAGCGCCAATATACTTTTTTTATAAAAGCTCCCCGAGGGTGCTAAGCTTTTATTATATTAAATTGCTGGACCTTACCTTTTTAACAAGCCTTTATAGCAATAACAGGCTATTTTCTTGACCAAGAGTGGAACTACCGCGAGATTTTACTTAGCTTTAAACCACTACATGGCTTGTATACAGGCGCCTATCTAAGCACTATTCTGCTTGATCTTCTTGAGAGATATTGGATTACTAATTAGGTATTAACTATTACTACTAATAACACATCTAATAACAGTACGTTACTAGGTAGTCTCTAAGAGGCGCTTAAATCCCTCGAGCTACCTAGTTATATACTAGTTATTTGGATACCTTGTATCGCACATATTATACAGCTTAGTCTAAAAGAGCTGCTTGGTCAGATGGATGCAAACCCGCGGAATAATAAGAAAAAGATAAAATGAATTAAGGGAGGGAATAAAGCCCGGCAGGAGAATAAAAAAGATCGTGGATACTTTAAATAAGGTATAACTATTTTTTTTATTTTTTACTTAACTAATTACTTACTATTTTTAGATTCGGAAAGTAGCGGTCTATATCAACAGAAGTCCCTAATACCGTGAGAGCTTTATAGCACTCCAGACAAAAGAGCCAAAGCTTATACTAATACAAGATATTTAAACACGCTGGAATTTAACGTTTCTTATACTTCGCCGTGCCTGATAATTACAGTCTGCCTTTAATAACTTCTGCATCGAATTTAACCTTACTAGTATAAAGATAAATAAGGATAAATAGTAACAGGTTAACTATTTTTTTTATTAATTACTTAACCCTTCTTCTAATTTACTTCTTCTTTTTTAACAACCACAGATATTATTATTTATAATATCTTTGGTATTTACAATACTTTGTTTACTTATATTAAGAAGGCAAAAGCACAGCTAGCTTGAAAAAGAGTTAGCTAGAAAAAAAAAGTAATAAAGTCAGCACTAGATACTACGCGAGAGAAGCTTGCAGAGTATTATAAAAAGACCGATAAAATTCCTAGTGATCTCTATGCAATTGGGACTATCTTGGGACCGCAGAATAAACTCGAGTTTTTTTTTAATATTAGAATAGGAGCCTTACTGGGGGCCGTGCTACAAGAAGTCCCTTAAAAATTATATCCAGCCTTACCAGCAACACCACAAAAGTCATAGACTATATTAACTATCCAGCCTACAAGTAACAACATCTCTAATATTAATATGCTTGTAACGCCTGCTGTGTTTCTATAGCTAATAATAACTGCAAGTAATAAGCTTACATGGTATCTTAGAAGTAGTAAGCTAACCTTTTTATTTTTATTACTTGTATACCTATTCTTTTGTACTAACCTTACTAGGTACTGTACAGGCAACCCCCTGGGTATACTAAAAGGAGCATTAAAATAAATACCCTATTCTAGCAAGCCTTACCCAAGATATCCTTACAACACCAGCCAGTGGCTCTGGCATAGAGCGGTTATTTAACTCCGCTTGTGATATTTGCCACTACCGCCGTGGGTCACTAAAGCCGCAGACAATCAAGGAGTTAATAATGTTCATGTGTACAATAAAATTTAATATAGAGTCCGAGCAGCTTGCCCTAGTCGAAGAGTATCTTTCTACTCAAGAGAAGCAAGTAAGAAAAGAGCAAAAAGACACCCAGGAGAAAAATAAGGAGGAATTTAATTCTATTAGTAATAATAAGGAAGATCTATCTACTGCTAAAGGCACCCAATCTTCTAGTGAGCATGTGCTTGGGAAGAGAAGGGTAGATATTATATTAGATAATCTTATTTAACTAAAAACACTAATCAGGACGAGGTTCCTCTACCTAATAATAGCCACCTACAGGAAGAGAGTTATACTTAGAGATGTTTCTTAGGGCACGTTCCAAAGCATTTGAGACAAGATAAAGATTTTGTATATAATTAGTGCAAATAAAGATAAAAAGCTACTTCGGCAGAATAGTACATGTTTAATAAATATTATTATTTAACCTTCTAAAAGTAAACTAAGCTAAAATCAAAATACTTAAAAATACAGACAGATTCTACATAAAATATGCATATTATCAGGTTTCGATGTTTGTCTTGTTTGTAGGACCGCAAGACCAGACCGGACCGCACCACGGTCCCAAGGGTAAGGACCAAAGACCGCTGCGGTCTGGTCTGGTCCGGTCCGGGCGCGGTTTTGCGGTCCCGTGCAGAGGCCTACCTGTGACATACATCGGGGAATAGTGTGGTATAATCTTTGCTTAGGAGGTAAACACGGACATACATAATCTAATCCTAGGACGAGACTGGTTAAGGTTAATAAATCCAGTAATAAATTAGCAGACTAGATATATAACTATACAACAAAAAAAAGCACTCCTAGTAAAGCTCGTACCAGAACATGTCTATGCAAGGACCATCGCAGGATCCGAGCCAAATATGATATTAGGGAAGCAAGTACAATGTCACGGCGTGAGCATGGCGGAACAACTGGATTCTATTTTGACGAAGACATCGCTTGAAGAACTTGTAAACAGAGCGACGCGAGGTCAGAACTAAACTATCTACAGGCGGTGGAGGGAGGCAGAACCCGAATCCTGACATAATAGGGTGTAAACCTTAACTATTAGACAGCTTCTAACATCTTTAAATAGTGTTATGGAAACACTATAATCCGCCCGACTTGGCGGTGAGGAAATATCTACCGACCCATTCTACCCCTCAATCCTTTAGATAAGTGAACACCTCAATGAGAATATAGGGAACCGCTTAGTAGGCTCAGTTGGTTGAGATACTGCGATTCCTGGTGTTTCCACTGAATGACATCTACTTCCTAATTAGGCTAGTTGGTCTGTAGCTGATAGAATAGCTCCCTATGCCCCATTTCCCCTGAGTTCACAACAAATAGGAATCGATGGATTATAATAGTAGTCGATTATATAACAGGATAGGTAGTTGCAAAGACTTTGCTGGATATAAAAACAAGATATTAGCAAGGTTCTTACATAAGGAGATCTTTACTAACTATGGAGCATTTAAAGAGCTCCTATTAAATAATAAACTAAACTTCCTTTTAAAGATTGTTAAGGTATACATTGTGATCTTAAAAGCAAAGCACCGAATGACGACACCTTATTATCCACAAACGAATTGAAAGAACGAGAATATAAACAGAACTGTTAGGCCGGATGTTAACAAAGTACTTAATGGGCAAGCCAACACGCTTGTAGGATTGGCGACCACATTGCATATTTACATATACTGAGCCCATCTTGTGTTGCATCCTGGAGCCTACCCTAGGTGCCATCCAAAACTGGCACACTTCCCCTAAGGAAATCCGCGAACTCCCATTCCCCTTCTAATAGAGAATTTCTCAGAGATCTGTGTTACAGCTGCTCTGGGGACACATTGTTCGAGCAACTACTGGCCGCATTCAAAATAATGTAGTTGAACCATAATTCTATCCAACGATCAAAATCGTATTGGCGGCGCTACATATACGTTGGACGATTCTCTGAATAACAGCAAGGCGAGACAAAACGAATCAATAAAACCAAACAAGGGAATCGATTTTGCTATTGGTCAGTTCTCTATGTCTTCCTTCCAGAACGCAAACATCTCACGAATGACAAACCCCTGCTCCTCGTCCGTCAAGGTCAGATGCACCGGCAGCAGCAATATCTGCGAGATTGCAAGGGAGGTCACACGGTCGACACCGACAAAGCGACCATTTTTCAGGCCATAGGGCGACGAGTGCAGTGGCATGAATTGCGGATGGGTCTGGATGTTCGCCTGGTCCATATGCACAATCAAATCCTTGCGCTGAGTTTCATCCGTGACCCGGACGTAGAACACATTGGCGTTGTGTGTTGTGTTTGCTGGGATATGAGGCAGTGTGATGTATCCCTTCTGCGCCAACGGGGCAAGGTTCGTCTGGTATCGCTGCCAGATTTCAAGTCGGCGTCCATTGATCTTGTCCGCTGCTTGCAGCTGTGCGTACAGAAACGCTGCCTGCAGCTCGGATAGAGTCGCGTTCAAACCCATGTCGAGCCACTGATAGCGGTCGACCTCACCGCGCATGAAGGGTGCTCGGTTGGTGCCGTGCTCATACAGGATTTCGGCGCGCTCGACGAGACTGGGATCATTGATAAGAAGCGCTCCTCCTTGACTCCTCCTGCAGTGAAGTTCTTTTTTTTCTTGAAAGCTGATACAGCCGACATTTCCGATCGTGCCCAGCATGCGGCCTTTGTACGTCGATGTACAGGCCATCGCTGCATCCTCACAGACGAACAGGTTATGCTTCTTCGCCACCTCCATAATGCGGTCCATGTCACACGCAATGCCAGCGTAGTGCACTGGAACAATGACACGAGTCTTGGGAGTAATAGCGGCTTCAATCAAGCCGGCATCGATGTTCATTGTCGCGTTATCAAGATCAACAAATACAGGTACTGCTCCGCGTAGAACAAAGGAATTCACGCTGGACACATAGGTGTAGCTTGGGACAATAATCTCATCGCTAGGCTGGATATTGGCGAGGATCGCAGCTATCTCCAAGGCCGTGGTGCAGGAGGAGACTGCTAAAGCCCGTCCGCCATTCATAGAGCTTTCAAGCCATTGCTCACAGAGGCGTGAGTAGGTTCCTTTGCCGTTGAGGTTGTTTAATGTGAGCACATCCTTGATGTTGGCCAGCTCAGTGCCCACGATCGTGGTGCAGATGGTAGGGATTCGCTTGGCCAATGGTGGGGAAATCATCGTAAGGGCAAAGAGCAAGCAGGTCGTTGTCCTTGGAGGAAATCAACCTGATACCGAGCAAGGATTCTGGTCAGCGTGTGCAATAAGAGCTCCAGAAGAATCGAGGAGACGTTCTGAGCAAAGAAGAGGGGCTCAACCCATACCCAAATTTTCAACACGGTGAGGATATCTGGATGAACTTTACAAGGTATACGCTGGATGAAATATTCAATATTTCAAATCGAGGATCAGAATAGTACATCTTGCGTGTTAGAGAGACAAGTCATCTTTTTTAAATCGAAGGCCGGTATAGTACATCTCGCGTATTAAAAAGACAAGTCCTTTTTCCTGCTGTGATCTGCGGACTGTGAATTGCATTTCGAATTGCAGCAACAAGACCAGAAATGATAACCACCTCCCATCGGTGGCTGCTGCATGCCGCTCCACTGATTGGAACGATCCCATTGTTTGAGTACTAGTGGCATTTTAGTGCATGTGTCCGAGATCTGCAGACCAGAAGCAAGAACGGAGAAGGCCGAGGTGGAGCGAGGATCTTGGTGCTCGCATGCAGCCACCTACTGCAATGTACAGATCACATTTTTAATCCTGACCAGGCCAGCACATACAGGTCTCGACCGAGGATGATGCAGGCGGTGCTTCAATAGCCCGGAGCTGACTCGTTCAAATATAGTAACGAGAAACATCCCTGTCTCTGCCTCCCAAGAGTCTCAACAGAATCATCATTGTATCACACAGTGTGACGGCCTCGTCACCTTGGGTCATGTGATCTGCCGGTTTCCCCGCAACTGATGTTGTTATGATCCATCTCTTCTTCCTCTCCTCTCCATGTTTGATATTCTCGTTGAAGAGCTACAGTTAGCGGGAATAGATTCATTTGTTATATGAAGATCTCCTGGCCTAGACTGAGCCGTGACACACACTCCTCAGTGCAGACCACCCTCTTACCAGCCTTTTTGCAATTTACGCTGAAGTTCTACGTGCGAGGTGTTTTGGTAGCGAATCATCATGGAGGGAAAATCATGTCTGCGATGGGGTATTCTGGGTAAGTTCTTCTAACAACAGACAGTCAATAGGTACTGACACAACCACAGCCACAGGACGAATCGCCGAGAGTGCGCATGTCTTCCCTCTCTCCAGATCCCACTAACATGCCCAGATTTCGCAAAGGATCTTCTTATCGACCCGACGACCAGAGAGGTCACCGACGTTGCCCACGCCCTCATCGGCGTCGCTTCCTCTCGCTCTGAAGAAGCAGCAAGCGCCTTTCTCGACAAAGTCCATGCACCGTCATCCTGCCGGGCATACGGCAATTATGGAGACCTGGTCAACAGCTCCGAAATCGACATAGTTTACATCGCGACGCCGCATTCGCACCACTTCCAGAACGCCATGCTTGCTCTGGAAGCCGGGAAGCACTGTCCTATGCGAGAAGGCTCTGACGGTAAACGCGCAGCAGGCCAAGAAGCTCTTTGTCACTGCTGTGCAGAAGCAGCTGTTCCTCATGGAGGGCCTGTGGACGCGGTTCCAGCCAGCTGGCGTGCAAGTTCGCCGTCTCCTCCGGGACGGTACGATTGGAGTCGTCACCCGCATCTTCGCGGACAATAGCTTGGGGATGAACCCTTGCAACTTTCCAGCTGATGACCGAATGGTGAAGAAAGAGCTGGCGGGCGGTGCACTGTTGGACTGTAGGCATGCCAGCTCCTGGCTCTCCCGCAACCATACTGACAAGAAGGCAGTGGGCGTCTACTCCATTCACTGGGTGCTACAGGCGCTGCAAAACGAAAACCGCCGTCCAACGGAGATCTATTCCATCATGAGCAAGTACCCTGCCACTGGCGTCGATGAAACGACCACCATCATGATGAAGTTTCCAGCTGCCACCGGAGACGGGCCTGAGGTGCACGCCATTGCCGCCGCAAGCCTGCGCGCCGCGACTAATTCAGATGGTAAGGGCCCTGCAGTGCGCATCCAGGGCGATCGAGGAGAGATACAGATCTTCGGATGGCCCTGGTGTCCATCCAAGCTGCGTGTCGTCCAGCGAGAGCAAGGCTTCGGCAACGTGGGAGTCGCCCGTGAGTTAACTAACCTCATCCCTGGCGGCGCACACGGGCTCTGCTTCGAGGCAGACGAGGCGGCGCGCTGTATCCGCGAGGGTCGACTGCAAAGCGCCGAGATGCCCTGGGCCGAAAGTCTGGTCGTAATGGAGATCATGGATGCGGTGCGCAAGGAGATGGGTCTGTCGTTCCCAGATGAGATTGAATCTCTGGCGTATCCAGTGGAATTGCATTCTAAGCTCAATTAGATTGGAGTAGGGCTCTACGTAATAAGTATTGAACTTTTCATTATGCGGTAGTTCGCTCGAATCAAAAGTGCAGCTGGGCGAACATATAACATCCTAGCTAGGAAACGATATATTATGGCAGCATTATCAGCTTGACAACACCTGACACCCTCTCCATCATTTCTACAAATTAAATGCTTCTTCTGTATTTCTACCACTGCATCATACTTCCTCTGCAACTTTGTCCTCCTTGCGCCCTGTAAACACAACCACCAAAATCACCATCACCACGCTGAGCCCTCCCAGAGACAATGACATAGCCGTCCATCCCGCCCATTCTCGGAGGTATCCCGCATACAGTGGCCCGGCGAGGGTACCGCCCGCGAAAGCGGCATTGCTCAGTCCGTACGCCTGTGAGTACGCGCCCTGGCTGCCGAAGATTCCTGGATAACGTTTTTCGACGGCCTTTGTTGCCATGCTAATCTCAGTCATCATTGCAGGCATGGCCATGGAAATCCCGCAGCCGAACAGGAAGAGAAACAGGCGCAGGAGCAACGAGCAGAGGACAGTGTTGTGCTGAATCAAGCTGAGGAGCATCATGCTCGGCGCTGCGAGGGCAAATCCTGCGACCGCGGGCCAGAAGGGGCCGACTTTATCGACCACGTTGCCGCTCAGAGGCGAAAGAACCATTGGGAGTGTGTTGGACAGGAAGACAATAGCGACCTGACTGGAGTCATAGTCGCAGAGCTCATGCAGGTACACGGGAAGGACCGCCTCGAACGCAGTCATGAAGGTGTTCAACATGCACATTCCCACCATCGCGACCAGGAATCGCGGCGAGCGCAGGAGTATGACAAGCGTGGGAGATGTCTGCTTGTCTGGAGGCCCTGTGGCAGGCAATAGGGGCGACTGCTCGTCTCGCTGGACAGGCGTCTCCAAGCATTCCAGAGATCGTGACGGTGGCTGCAAGAGCAGGCTAAGGACGACCTCGAGCATAATGAGCGCAAACGCCGGGACGAACACAGCAAAGTAGCCTGCCATATCATAGACGAATCCACCGACAATAGGGCCGCCGAAGAGGCCCAGACTCAGGCTCATGCTGGTGAAGCCGACGGCGCGACCAATGCGCTCGCTGCCGACTGTGTCGAGCAGCAGGCTAAAGCCGATCGTGAAGACGATGGCGGTCGACAGCCCCTGTAAAACCCTGGCAAAAAGAATTAAAGGCAGCGAGGTGGTCAGGGGAGAAAAGCAGCGTTGCGCCGCCCACGACCACCAGGCCCAGCATGAACGGGAGCTGCTTTGTTTTCGTCCGGTCTCCCACCCAGCCAAAGAGCACTGCATAAAGGCCGAGTCAGCAAGGCGATAACCCAGGGGAGTGGAGAGTTTCGCAGCATGCGAACATACATGATCCCAGGAGAATTGAGGCGCCATACACGGCCAGCAGGATGGAGTTCCATCGCTGGATGTCGCCCTCAGCCAGGCCAAGTCGATCGGCCAAGGCAAATGGCAACATGGGCACGACCAGTCCATAGAGAAAGATGTCGGTGAAGACGGCCACGCAGACGACGACAGTAACAAAGGCCGTTGAGGACCGCCACTTAGGCAGCATCATGATGATGCGTAGAGAGAGTAAATCAACGCGTAAAGAAGGAAAGAAAATGTCGACCATAAAAATATGCGTATTCGCAAGTATCGATCCTTATTAGAATTAGGCCTCTGGTTCAACTAAGCTTCCAAAACATGTGGCGTTTATAAAGGCGAGGTAAACAAATGAAGAATGTAAACTAACTAATACAGGAAATATACGTGATCCGATGATGTTGTATCATCAACAACATTAACCGAGAAAGGTGCTGAATAATCAATATTACCATACTTGTCGACAGAAAAAAAGGTGGAATATATTACGTCTGTGGGACTAAATGAAGTGAATGAATGGGAAAGAAATCCAGCTGGATAAACACCAGTGTTCATGACGAATCATGCAGACTACAGGAACAAATGCAAGGGTCCTCTCCCAGTGGATTCAGCTAGTCTCACCAACTATCATCCAATCATCTACCAATCAACACTTTGAGACCCTCGACAGATGCGCTGCGTTGCAGATCTAGCGCGACACAAAACCTGAAATAAAGGTCAAATGCTCGATGCGCTCCGGACCCTCCAGCAGATTCTGCTCCTCGAAGATCTGGTACATTTGTTGCAGCCAATCTCGGTGGTGATGCTGCGCCAGAATCTCTGAGCTGGCCCACCTGCATCCCAAGATGGTGTCAGCTCGTGTAACCGACGATCCTCTTGCTGAGAAAAACACATGCAACTTGCCTCTCGATGACCTTGAACTCGAGCACATTATCAGCGCCACGACTTTCAGTTAGAAGAAAGGTGAAGCATCCTTTTTCCACACGGGTCACGTGGCCGACCGTCTGGCAGAGGATTTCTCGAAGCTGCAGGATATCATTAATAGAGAGCTGATGGGTGGAGATGATGGGAGACATACCTGCTCTTCTTTTCCAGCGGCGGGACGCAGTGTCGCAATGAGCTGAACCTCGGCCATTGTGCGGGATGCTTTTGGCGAATGGAAGTGGCGAGAAAAGAATGCAGTCCTGGAGACTTCTTTTACTTTGCAAATTGGACGGCTGAGAGTGATGTTCTGGCTGAGAGGGGGTCCCGCCTTTATGCAGGGGCACAAGTCTTTGCAACAGGAATGTGTATGACAGAGAACCTTGATACATTGGGTCACAACACCTGCAGCCTCTATCTCTGATCGTATTATGTGTAGTCAGCGTATTATGGGCACTTTGCATACGTGCAACATCTGCATCTCTATTCACACCAAGTACTCCGTCACGTATTACATACAGTACTCTCGGTCCAGCCGCTGAATAATATTAGCCGGCGGGTCTTGGGGCCACATTTACTCAGGAGTTTGTCGTGCAGTTTGACATGTTACTTTCCGATGTGGAGACGGATCTGGGGTGTGCTTTTCCGATGGGCTTCTGATTATTGATCGTCGGTGTGGAATCGGGTGTAGCGGTGAAAGCCCAAGACGTGACGATAGAAACAAGCAGCAGAAGGGGATGAGATAGATAGATAAGCCCCGGATAGAGCGAGATGTATTCCTCCCCTGCTCTGAACGCCAACTTCGCTTCAATCAATCCGACAGCTCCTTCCAACGATCCGTTGTCACAGACATTCAACATGGTCGGCATTATCGACGTAGCAGAGCTTACCAGGAACCCCCGTTCGAGCTGAGCGATGCGGACAAGGAGGTTCTGAACACGGCGGAGGAGGACTTTATCCCTCATACCTGGGAGGAAATCAAAGCAGTCATCGGTTGGTAGCCCACTCAGAATATCACAGACTTAACTAATCCCTTCATCCAGCTGGCGGCGACATGTCTCTCTTAAAACGGTCCCCGATCGACCTCCGCAACTACATACTCTGACCAGAGAGATCCGGGCCAAATTCGGTTCTGCGACCAATTTCATCGTGCAAAACCGGCTGCAGTGGAAGCCGGAGTCTAACGAGTCTAGCACCTTCTTCCCCTATCGCAATTCGACCCCTTTTGCGGACCAGTCCGACTATCGCATTTTGCGCAACGACTGGCCCTACGGAATGACCCCTGGAATGGTGCATCTCGTCATCTGGTCGAAGACGCCCATCGGGGTTGATGAAGACGGTGATCCTACTCCCGAGTCCCGCCAGCTCATCACCGAGTTCATCACGAGGACATTTGCGGCACAGATGCGCCAGAAGAAGCACTCTGGCGACAACATCCAATGGTTCAAGAACCGCGCCAAGTGGCAAAGCGTGCGCGCTCTGGAACATATTCATGTTGTCCTTAGAGACGTGGATGAGGACTTCGTGACCGCTTTGACTGGCCAGCATCCCAACGATATCAACTGCAAAGCGTATACTCCCTCTATGGACGGTTGGTAGGGCTTTTGGCCAGCTGGGCTTGGAGAACTAGTCGATGTATTCATGTACTTAGCGACTGCTTTGATGCTTCCAATTCAATCCTTGACCCTAAAATGAAAAGCGAAATATGATTATAGCATGAAGGATGACTACTAGTAATTAGATGCTGAGTCAATGCCGCTTTGTGATATGTATGCAAGGGGCGGCTCAGCTGAACAGGCTGTGATAAGAGGGCCAAGAGTTGGCTCAAAGACCGAAAGGGGTGCAACGACCAAATATAAAATGTAGTACCCAGCAGATCCTCCAATTGGCCTTTCATGCCTTCGTGAACAGTTTAATCCTCTGAGAATATTTATCAAAATGTACCCCGGTTTCAGTTCAGAAGAGCTCGTGAACTCTTATCCGAGCTCACTGCAGCTGCAGCTGGTTCAAGTGGTATGAAAGGCTCTGGTGTATTTCACTGAGTTAAGCCGCTAATGCTTGATACCGTATTCAGTTCTTCCGGCATGGTAAGACTATTGTGAGCCTTGCGAACATGAAATGCTAAGTATGTGTGAACAGGCGAGAGAGCTCCTATTAAGAATGTCTTTTCACCTGTGAGCATTTATCCATGACTATGAGGGTTATATGACCTTGGAGCTCACCGCAGCCACAGATAACCAGTGCGTCATCCTGATAAAATCCAATCGTATCTGGTCTACTGACTACACAAAGACTGGGAAGGGTGCTCCCTTTCTGGCCAATTCCGCGAGCTTGTTAACACAGTCCTCAAGCCCGGCGAAACGCCATCCTTTAGAGCTGAAATTAAATTCGGTGGCGGAAAGGCCCACGAATGGTTCGTCAGGCGGCATTCGTTCTGGCTGCTTTCGCTGACAAAAATACAGTGCGCCTGGCGACTTGACCGACATTGGAGTGCAATCGACAAACCACCTCGGTCGCGATATCCGACAGCTTTACGTGGATCATCTCCAATTTCTACCTGAGAGATTAACCGGGTCCGAGGTGCTGCACCTCCGCTCCACGCGGTATCCACGGACCTTCCTTTCACTGCAAAGCGTAGTCAATGGACTCTATCCCCAGAGCGTCGCGATGTGAGACTGGAAACCCTGCCGATCGTGATTCGTCTCCCGGAAGAGGAGACCTTGTTGCCGAACGAAGATTTCTGTCCTCGTCTACGTCATCTTCTGGGAGAATTTCTCGCTCGAACTGCGAAGAAAGTAGGAGGAGGAGGGATGTACGACACCATGTGATGCAAACAGCTAACACCCTCGGCAGGGAACCGGTCCCCGAACTTTCCAAGTTGAATAATTTAGCGCCAGCGGCGATGGGTTTAAAGAAGGGCATCTATCTCGACTCTCAGCCAAATATCGCCGATCTACGCGACTCTATTGCCGCCGCGATGGCCGCACCTAGTGTAAGAGCATCGGTCCCGCCTCCCTTCCGTGATCAGGATATCCGCCTTACCCTGCAGAGGATTGCGGCGGAGCAGGAGCACATTGGCTTTGCAGACAGCGCCGAAGTTTGTCGTCTCGGGGTAGGACCTCTCTTGACGGAGATTGTAGACCGCATGGCAATGAAGGTGGGCGAATCCTGCAGGGAAGAGGCGGTGCATAAAGCACACAACAACAGCCACCCCAGAATCGCCCTCTTCGGTTGTCACGACACGACAATTGGGATGATCTTGACATCTCTGGGGATTATGAGGGCTCCAGCATGGCATTGGCCCCCATTTACCTCATCCCTTACGGTGGAATTGTTTAAGTCTTGCGAAGCGTGTCAAGGCGGAGCTATCGATAAAGACAGAGAGATCTCAGACGGAGATCAGCAAGGCATGTCTCGGAAGCAGAAACAGGTAGGCTTCTCACACTGTTGCACCTTGAGATCATCGCCCAATGCAAGTTGATATCAGCCACATAGTCTATTCTTCGTGCGTCTGCATTACAATGGACGGTCGATACGAGTTCCTGCGTGCAAGCAGCCAGGGAAGCACCTAGCAGGCAATGAGGAATTTTGCACCCTTGTGAGTGATATTCCCAGCCACTTGCCACAGGAACTTTACAACTCCCTGGAGATCCGGCTGACCGGTGTGATAATCTGAACAGAGCGCATTTCGAAGCGCTGTGCAAGATTTGGCGCCGTCGGATTGGGAATCGGCTTGCAATAGCCGTTCAACGATCTGAGTCATTGTGCAGTTGGTTAAGGAAATCATGGATCAGTGGACTTTGCATTAACCTAGATCTGTATATCATTTTAACCCGGACTAGGAGGTGGTGATAGCAATGCTCGATGTGGTTATGATGGGATCTTGTCAGAATAAAGATAGTCCATATTGGGACATCATGTGGAGTATAGTGACGTGGCTATAGCCATCCCTCCAGAAGAAGAGGGGTAAGGAGAATATCATTCAGAGAATAGTCAATCAATTCAGACCACTCATCAGAATACCAATAAATTAAAAGATCTCAATCCATGTTTAACTAGTGCTGTGCCATCCACTATGCCGTAGATGGCAACTCGCGGTTCTTCAAGCAGGACCAGGAGGAAGACCAGGTGGTTTGTGGCGCTCAAAAGATTCGTCACTTGCAGCATGCACTGTATGTGCAGAAGTACCGCACATAAAATTGTAAAAAGACAGACAGCCACAGATGTGCCACTCGAATTGCTCCAAGTTAAGTAGCACAAAAGTCAATATACACCTTTTTGCCCTTACTTCATGCATTTGGCCCTGCATCCACCAAAACCCAGGCCGGACCAAGCAGCCGCGAATGACTTCAAAGCAATCGATTTTTCAGCCCCAGTTAGCCGCAAGCGTACAGCTGTGATGGTAGAGAGAGTCTTGCATCCTCTACCAGATCTCGATCCAAATAAGACATGAAATCTGCCGCCAGAAGGATATCAGTTTGGGAATATACCAGATTACTTCTTGAACAGAATCATCCCATCGCGCGGTACGCCACTATGCATATCGATTTTGACAAGGTCTTCTCTAATGGCTACTTTCCTTCTGAAGATGGCCGGCTCAAATCGCTGCCCGGCGTGAAAAATATTCTGGTGACAGGAGGCGCCGGGTTCATGTGAGAATCAAAGTCCGACTTCTTGCGGGTATAGAATCTCTAACGTGCCTCCTTTTCTCCAGCGGTGGGTGGTTTGTCCGCCATATGGTCCAGGTGCATGGCGACAGCTACGTTGTCATTTGCTTTGATAATCTCGAATATTGCGCCTCGATGAACAACTTCAGTGTTATCAAGCATCTGCCCAACTTCCACTTTGTCAAGGGAGACATCTGCAGCGCACAAGATGTCGAAAGGGCACTGCAGAAATACAATGTCGACGCGATTGTTCACTTTGCCGCCAGCTCCCATGTCGACAATTCATTTAGCGATCCGCTATTGTTCACAAGAACAAATGTCATCGGCACCCAAGTCGTGCTCGAGGTTGCTCGGAAGCTGGGCTCCATTAAACGATTCATCCATGTTTCCACCGATGAGGTGTATGGCGAGAACGATGCCAAAACGCCTTTGCCTTCAAGGAGGATCAGCGCCTACATCCAACCAACCCATACTCGGCGAGCAAAGCTGCCGCGGAAATGGTTGTCCACGCGTATCAAAAGTCGTTTCAGATGCCTCTTATCATGACCAGATGTAACAATGTGTTCGGACCACACCAATACCCCGAGTAGGTGGATCCTGGAGTGGTCGCGACACCGCTAACCAGACTTGCGTTAGAACTGATTCCAAGATTCATCACGCTCTTGAATCAAGGCAAGAAAATGACCATCCACGGCGACGGCCAAAGCACTCGGGCGTTTCTGTTCGCCAGCGATGCTGCAGAGGCGTTCGATGTGATCTTCCACAACGGGGTCGACGGTGAGTCGTACAACATCTCCTCGGAGAACCAGCTGCAGGTGCGTGAGGTCGCAAAGAAGATTCTCAAATGCTTTGGCCGTCACTGCGCACAAAGCCTAGAGCATTCGATGGAGCTGGTTAAGGATCGCCCTTTCAACGACAGCATGTATTGGACCAACGATGCTAAGTTACGTGCGCTGGGGTGGCAGGAGCGGACCAACTTTGACGAGGCGCTCAAGGCGACAGTGAATTGGTATTGCCGTCACGGCGAGGGCTTTTGGCAGGACATGTAATGGCGCAGGAGAAGGGGACATTGAGTTGGGGCAACATACGCTAAGCTCATCCATGCCACACACTAGCAGTGTTGTTGTTAATATATTTATTATCAATCCCGTCAATCAATATTGACTATCAATAAGGAAATATTGATTGACAATATTGATAATATTTCTTGGCATTTCGTTGTCTCGGCAACCCATATTATTATCCATATTTTCTTCTACCCCACCCCTCCAGCATAGTAATCTACAGGATCGCGTATTTATTAAACTATACTCTATATAAAACCATGGATTCTAAAATAGACCCATCTCTTCTATCCCTTCCACTCACTCAACTACGTCAAGGCCAAGAGGAACTAGAAAGATATCCGCTTATAAGACATGGTCACATACTCGTACGCCACGAGAGGGAGAGCCAGAATGCCAGGGAAAGAATAGGCTTTTTATTACAAGTACTGTGAATCGTACAGTGCTCAAGCAAGTAATAATTTTCGAGATTATTTTAAAAAAGCATGGGATTGATATTTAACCTAGCTTAGGTCCAGTTTAATCCGCAACACTGGATCAGCTACAACAATTATACCTCAAGCAATTTCATCTGGTTAAACACAAGAGATTGATACTCAAGTTCTTTAAAATGTCCTGGATAAGGACATGATTAATAAGGCACTTGTTTTATTAATTGTTGTACGAAATCTCCTATTTAATATTATTAAATGGCCTGAGTTTTATGTCTTTTGTCGACTGCTTAATCTAAAAGCAGATAGCTCTGTTACAACTGCACACTGTGAAATTATAAAAAAATTAATTAATTAAACAAAAGCTAAAAGGACCTTATAAAAAAAACTTTAATTAGCAGAGTTAAGCATTTATTTTTCACTTAATATCTGGACATCTCCAAACAAGCTTTTTTTCCTTGGGATTTGTGCCTATTTTGTTGGACGAGACCAAGGAAAAATATTAAAAGCTCTAATTAGTCTTCGTACGGTTGCAAATTATTCTGGAGTGGAGCAATTTACTACTCTTCTTCCAGTTCTTCAGGATTATGGCATTGTACAAAAGATTGGATCTATTATTAGTAATAATGCAAGTTCAAATAATACGCTTTGCTGTGTAATAGGTAAATATTTTAATAGAGAGAAAGGGCTTAAGTGGAATACTTTATTTAAACAAATCTGCTGCATTGGACATGTAATTAACTTGGCTGTCCAAGCATTTTTATTTCACAACTTGATTAAAACAGATCAACTCGAATTATGTGAGGGCCAAGAAGAAACCGGAGAGCTTATAAATAATACAACAATCCAGCAGGCTTTTCGTGTTATTGGGCCATTGGGAAAGTGTTATAATATAGTTATACACATCCAAGGCTCAGCTACTTGTACGGCATATTTCAAAAATCTGGCAGGTAGAATGATTCCTCTAGATAACCGTACAAGGTGGAATAGCTGGTCTTATATGTGTGAGGTGGCACTAGACTACTTAAATGTAATTAACACTTATACAAAGAAGTATCTTGATGATTTTTAGGATAATTTGTCAAGGGCTGAACCCGTAGAACCTACAGATAGTTTATGTACAAGAAGGAATCGTTGAAGGAGGGAAGAAAGGAAGAGGAAAATGAGCGGTAAACAAACAAGATGGGGAGTCACATGACAGGGACCGAGTGTTCGCGAGGCACACTTCTCTGAATTCAAGGGGCTCAGGCGAGCTGTCTATCTAGATGGGTGACTAAGTGAGGCCACGTGACCATACCGAATATGGTAGGTCCCTGTATATAGATAGTCCCTACACTCTACGGGCCTTTGCCCGCGGAATACGGCGGCCCGCAGAGGTCCGGTTGCGCACTTCCCCGGACACTCCACGTACGCTGTGTGTCGCTGACGTAAGACCCGTCCCCCCATACAGTCCCCGTAGACTGTCGACCCGCCCCACCCCGTACAATCCCCGTCGACCGTCCAATGCCGAACGGAGCCCGTCCCGACACCACCAACACCGGCTCCCGTCCCATCGTCCGCCAACAGGAGTTCCCGAGCCGTCCCGATACCACCCACCCCGGGTCCCATCGTCGGTCGATAATGTTTTTCGATCCGGATCGTTGATTCGGTAACATTTTCGCCCCGGTTTCCGATTATCTCTTATAACTCCGGTTACCGACCACTCAGCACTGCAACCCGATCGCGACTGCGCCCAACCATTCCGGTATGTACGCAGCGATACTGAATAAGAGGGCAATGGTAGAACTCCGAAGGAGTAGGTCAAGGAGACACTCTGAGACAGCTCAGCCTGGCAGGAGAGAAGACAACATTCCCCTTACGCAGGTGCGCTCCGTGGTTTGTAAGAAGGTTGTTGATTGTTTATTCCCTCTTCGAACGAGGACTTAAGATAACCGTTATCCATACAAATGCCACATGCCAGTCCCTCTAGTTCCTCCACCAGGGTGGTTTTAACAAGTCGATACAAATCGACACAATTCAACAAATTGCAACAACACCATGTTGATTTATATCGATTAGTTATTATTGTATTGAATTCTTCTGCTAATTAATGTTGATACCGTATTGGGATTTTTATGGTCGTTAGAGACTCTAATTACGTGGTGTAATTTTCGTAATTTTTGTTGAAAACCACCCTGTCCTCCACTATAATACAAACAGGGATTGTTTGGGCAACATATGACGCCCGATCCCGGGATGCTCCCCGACTAAGGTGCCGGCGCAGAACAGGCCCATGCCATGGAGAGTAAGTCAAAAGAGCGCTCTTGGAGTGGCCCGTCTCAGCCCTGCACGGATAAGTTACTTTTTTCAGCAATCTAGCGCTGGAGTATTGCGCTGATTTGCTGGACAGATGTTCTGCACTTACTGCATTGTCTTTTATTCAGTGCTACGACATCTCCTATCCAGAACACAACACAACACAGTGAAGGATTGGATGGGGACGAAGATATATAACACCTATTACCATGCAGTTAGACGGCTCCATTTAGTCCCTCGCGTTCAATGCAAGCCATTCACTACGGAGAAACTTGGTTACCATATTAACTCGTCAGTGCTTTATCTCCTCTTAAGTATATATACTCGATAGGCCTTGCTTTTACTTCAAGTTATCGTTTGTGTCGATTTGTCTATCTTTGCGTTTTGGACCCGTGTGGTCATTGCCTGCTTGTAGTCCGCCTGAGTCCTGTGGAGACGATGCTCTGGAATCATCAATCAGATCCTCGGTAGCTCTCCGT